GCTGCAGGTTCAACCCCAGCCATAGGCTGAACATGGCTCCTGGTCGGACCCGGTAGGCTGCGACACCATAGCAACTCCCCTTGACCCCTCCCTTCTGCCTCCCTCCCTCCCTCCCTCCCTCCCTCAGCATTCGCAGCATCACCCTGTACACTGCACAGTCATATTTGGTCCTCCGGAAATATCCACAGCTCGGGTAAGCCAGTCCCTCTGCAGCGAGTGTATGGGTGGAGTACACTTCAAAAACACACTTTCAAATGTAAGCAAAGCCCGGCCGCCGTGACCCGTCCTCCGGTGCCGGAGCAGACGTCAGCACTCCGGGAAAGTTTGTCATGAAGCTGTCGCCTTGCGCTCTCGGAACCTCGGACCCTCGGCTCTAAAATGGCTGGCAGTAGGTCCGAAGAGCTCCCGTGCTGACAGGACCATAGAGGACGGTCTAGGTCGCGGTCGTCCGTGAACGCGAGTCAGATCTCTGACGGCGATGACGCGTCACTGATGTCCAGGGTCCGAGAGCCGTCAATACGCAGACGCGCCACGATCATGTTTCGGACCTCGGACTGTGCGTAATGGCGTCCTCTGTGGACAGAGATCATCGACGTGTGGAGCGAAGCGAGTTGAGTCAAAGTGAAGGAGCGCATTTTTCACCACACGTTGTTCATATGTCTGCAGGCGGATGTTGGCACTAGGAGACAGGAAATGTTGTTTAGCTCCCATCATTCGGACCTTTCGATTGTGCGCTGCGTCGCCGTGACTGATGGAAGACTCGGCTCGATGTTCTCAAATGTCGATTAAGGCCAACTAAGAACATCGAGCTGTTAGAGAGGAGATTGGAGGAGAATGTCACGTGCAGCTGTCATCACTTGATCGCTGCTCCTCTAGACTCACAGATGACAAACTAACATTTATATGTTTCTCTTCACACTCGTCCACGTGACATGCATGGAAAGTGAGTAGTTCCTATATTCAAATGTGAGGTGTTTGAGTCACATGAACATTTACTTCTTTTAATATTTCTTTTTTCTTCTCTCTCTCTCCAGCAACATCAATAGGTATGCCCCAAAATGGATTCCCACTCGGCTTCAGTCCCGACCAGTGGCAGCCTGGATGTCCAAAATGGCAGTCAGTGTGCACAGGGATCAGAGCCTGTGATTGGGTCAGTCTTGGATCCAAAAGAGAGAACCTCAGTGGATGCTGCCCCAGGTCACCTCCAGTCACATGCCCTCGTCAGGGAAGATGCCCCATCAGTCAATGGGAAAAGACCAGAGGAGGGCGGAGCCTCTCAGGAAACGGGCAGGCGGCCAATTACAGTAAAGACCGGAGTGCCTGTTCTGCGCAGCCATCCAATCAGAATCAAAATTGTGGTTCCGCCACGATGCAAGCGGCCAATCACAAACGCTGCCATCAGCTGGACCAAAGACCTTCCTCCTGTTCTGGTTTCGTCCGTCTTCTCTCCACAGAATCAGAGTCACAGTGACAGAGATCTGAGTGCAGCGCCACAGCAGGCGGATGATGAACCTGCAGCGCCACAGCAGGCGGATGATGACCCTGCAGCGCCACAGCAGGCGGATGATGACCCTGCAGCGCCACAGCAGGCGGATGATGAACCTGCCGCGCCACAGCAGGCGGATGATGAACCTGCAGCGCCACAGCAGGCGGATGATGAACCTGCCGCGCCACAGCAGGCGGATGATGAACCTGCCGCGCCACAGCAGGCGGATGATGAACCTGCAGCGCCACAGCAGGCGGATGATGACCCTGCAGCGCCACAGCAGGCGGATGATGACCCTGCAGCGCCACAGCAGGCGGATGATGAACCTGCCGCGCCACAGCAGGCGGATGATGAACCTGCCGCGCCACAGCAGGCGGATGATGAACCTGCCGCGCCACAGCAGGCGGATGATGAACCTGCAGCGCACGCTCAAGTAGGCAAAGACCAAAGTCAAACGGGAGCCGCAGCTTTAACCTCCAGCATGAGTGCAGTTCATCTAATGAGTCAGGGGGGGGTTCAAGAGGAGACCACCGAGCCGCACGTCCCTCTGACTTTAGAAGGAACCCGCACTGAGGTTTGTACGGCAGGTGATGTGGTCGAGGCCCAGGAACAGACGGAGCCACTGGACCTGAGTTTACCAAAGAAGAGAGAAGTCCACTGCTCCTCAGACCACTCCACCTGTCACACCTCCTTGATTATGGAGGTGGATGAGTTTGAAGGAGACGGGGACAGAGACCTGGTGGAGGAGGATGATGACGATGAAGATGGCGAAGAAGAGGAGAGGGTTCTGCGGGTGGAAGGCACGGACGCTCTGGAAGACCGTCTTCTGTCCCCGTCTTTTTTTTCTACCTCCGTCTTCACCTCCATCTCTGCCATCGAGGACGACCCTGAAAACCTTCTGCTCATCGATGACCAGGGAATCCCCTACACCCTCAGTCCAGACGGACTCCGGCTGCCACAGGTGGGGTCAGATCAGGCGACTTTGTTGTGGTCAGAAGACACCAGCGCAGGCCACAGCCTGGACAAAGACACCTGTGCTGCTGCTGCTGCTGCTGCTGCTGCTGCCGCCGCCCCCCCCGACCACACCAACACCACTGAGGCCAGCATTAGAACAGCTCAGGGTGCTAATGCTGCTCCGCCCCCCTCCTCTGGGGCATCAGTCCCAGCTCAGTCCATTCAGATCCTCACAAACTCCTCAGCCAGTGCTCCTCTTCTGCTCCTCTCCTCCTCCTCCTCCTCTCCCTCCCCTCAGCTCTCCTCTGCTCCTCTCTCCCTCCCCCTGTCTTTTACTTCCACTTCTCACGGTGCTTCTACCCCCATGTTCCTTCTTCTCTCCTCTGTTCCCCCCTCCCCCGGTGGACCCATCTCCGTGGTCGACCCCTCATCAGGTCAGGCGTCTCCGATGGCTTCCGTGTCAACGTCGGTCTCTCTTCCTGGTACCTCTGCTCAGGTCAGCGCCCTGGGACCACTGCTGCCCTCACCATCTCACCCTGTGGTCAGACTGAGGGCCAGCGCCCCCCCTGTTGTCCTGTCAGGAGTGAATCATGTCACTTCCGTCCTCACCTCGCTCTCCGTCCCTTCGTCTACGCCCGCAGCCCAGCACCACGGCATGAGCGACGCTCGCGGCGGTCGGAGCAGCTCCTCGGAGTCCAAGCCTGGATGTGAAGCCATATCTGCTGAAAAGTTCTCAGATGAAAACAAGGAGCCATCGGCATCTGGAGGTTCTCCACTGACTCTGACCTCTGACCTTTTAACTCCATCTCCAGAGGCCAAGATGGACTCAGGTGACCCGCCCACGGAGCATCTGCCTCTGGATGACCATCTGTACTACACAAACATGGCTGCCCCCCCCTCTCCTACCACTGTACCCATAATTCCCTGTGATAAGCTGGACCCCCTCCAGGCCCTCGACCCTCTCTCTCCAGCGGAATCGCCCGGCAACATGGGCTCACGCAGGGTGCTGTACTGCCAGCTGTGTCCGCGCGTCTTCTTTTACCTCTCTGACCTGGAGCGTCACGCCATCACTCACTCTCAGAAGAAGCCTCACGTCTGCCAGCAGTGTGGCAAGGCCTTCAAACGCTCCAGCCATCTGCAGGTGGGTGCACGTTTATCTTCATGACAGCGTCAGCTCAGAGGAGAAGAACCAAAGTCAGGAGAGTCACCAGTACGGTGATCTGGTGCTTAACCAGGTTACCATGACAACCTTATCCTCAGGAGAACGTCACAGACAGCTTTTTACCAAACTTCATCAGAGGTCAGTGGTACTTGGGCTCCCTCTAGTGGAGTGCAGTGTAATTAGTTTTTTTTATTTCTAATTATTATTGTGTTCCTTCATGATGAATCCGTGTAATTAATCAGAATAAAATGTTTTCATCTGCACTAATGTAAACACTGGGAGGAGCTTAACTGACGTGACCCAGTCTGACCAGAGGAGAAGCCAGGTTAGCGCCCCCTGCCGTTAGTGGTGTGTGTAGACACAGACTGTAGCTTTAACTGGAGGGTGATGAGTTGATTGGCCAATGGCAGCACAGGGACAGTGATGACAGTTCATCCTCTCAGCCAATGAAAACACTCATGTCTGTTTGTCCTCCTTCAGAGACACAAGCACATCCATACAGGCCAGCGGAACTTTGTGTGCACCATCTGTGCCAAACGCTTCAGGGAGGCTGGTGAGCTACAGCGCCATCAACGGGTACATACAGGAGAGAAACCATACCAATGCCAACTTTGCCACACGCGCTTCGCAGAGCGCAACACGCTCCGGCGGCACACCAAACGGAAGCATCCTTACCACCAAGTAGCCATGGAAATGCTGAACGAGAGGAGAGACGGGGGAGGGGGGGAGGCCTCGGGAGTACAGGAGGAGGAGGAGAGCGCCGAGTGGTACAGCTCCACCGTGTCCACCCTGGACAATTCAGAGTCTGAGCTGGAGACGTGACCATGTCCATGTCTGACTGGACACTGCCCCCCCCACCTCACCCCCCCCCACCCCCCCCCGAAGCACTGACACTTATTTCTTTCTAACTAAATGAAACCCATTCCATTATAAAACAGAATGAACCTGAAGAAGTTGAAGATGTTATTAAATACAAATTCAATGATGACATCATTACAGCTTGTTCTGACGACGTCACACTGTGTGTGTGTGTGTGCGTATACACTGTATATAAACACACACACATGCTATGAATGAATAAAGAGCTGTATTTGTACGAGCTGCACTTTCTGACGTTAGACTGACTCTTTCAGACACTGTGAGTCGTTTGCACTGTTTCACTGACTTTTCTACCTGTTGTTGTTTTATTTGATCCACATCATGTGACGTAAAGTCTCACATAAAAACACACAGTTTTGATTTATTTGAATCACTTTAAGTTATTTGGAATAAAAAAATATGAACTGTGTTTACTTTTGTTCCTACAAGTATTTATTTGCTAGCTTAGCTAACTGAGGGTGTGTTTACTGACAGAAGAGAAGTTTGTTAGACTGACTCCCAACAGAGAGCTGAGCTCAGGAGAAATGACACTGCTCACCTTCCTAACCACAAAGGGGGGGTTGATAATGTACAACATTAAAATAAAGAAATTCAATCCACTGTGTCCACTGTCTGAGGAGACAGGCCTGATGTCACACTGATGTCACATCACATATTCTGTTCTAACAACCCCAGTGGACTTCTGTATGGCTGAGGCTACAAGGTCCTCAGTGATGATGATGATGATGATGATGATGATGATGATGATATCTACTCTGTTACTTCTGTTGCTGTGACGTGTGTGTTGTGTCACAGACTGAAGCGACTTGAACTAACCATGAATAAACGCTTCTTTTTCCAGTCATGCATGGCTGTCGTTGTAAAGTTCAGCCACGTGGTGGCGCACCTGCGCTGTCAAAAGATGGAGCAAAGTGAGCAGAAGTCAGGGAGCTACGTACAGTACTTCCAGTGTCTGCAGATAAACAGTGGTTACTGTATGTTTGTATATATTTGAATATTGTCTGTGCAGTGACGTCAGTAGATGACGTTGTGAAATCTGCTTTTAACTTTACAGTTACATTATTTTAATCTTGTTTTTACCCTTTCTTTTTCTAACAGAAACAGTTTTTCCTTAAGTCTGTTCCTACAGTTGAAGCTCCAACATCAACAC